GACGGAGGAGGAGGCGGAGGCGCCCCGACCCCTAGCTCTCTCCATCAAGTTCGCCGGCGCCCGCTGCCCGGATCCCGCCTGGCTCCCACGGCCGTGCTGCCTCTGCCGTTTGCAGCCACCGTACTGAATTTAGGTCAAGGACGACGGGAGCAAGCCAGCGCCCTGGCGCTCCCGGGGAGGTACCCCAGGTCTCCCGAGACCCCCCCAAGATCGGGAGTGGCGGAGATCCTCCCGCACAAACACCAGCCACAAGTTTCATTTCCCCTTGCGCGGCAAGTTCTCCGGCTCCCGCTGCACGCCGGCAGGTTTGGCGCGGCTCCCCGCCCTTCCCCGGTAGAGGTACGGATCCGTGCCCAGGAAAGGTTATTTTGGAACTTTGAGAAACTGACCGTACCAGGGGGGCGAGAAAGCGCCGAAGACAGGCTGTCCGCCTTAATCACACCGCGTTTTTTTGAAAATACACAGTGGCCTTGTAGGGGTCAAGGTCAAGTGATTGGGGTTCGCAGTAAATGTTTATACAGAGTGAGCAGTAGCTTGGGAGCTCTGAGGATGGCTGGGATGGATGGTTAGTTCAGAAAACCCGTCTCCTATCCGTCCGTTGTCTGTTTTATTTATAATTTTTTAAGTTACCCAGGTTTTTATGTAGAAATTCCAAAGGTACATGAGATTGAAAAGCCCTGGACCTCCCACGACCTAGGGGAGGTCGCTGGGGTCACAAGCATTAGACTCACAGCCCCCCTCCATCCACTTTGGGAGCAGTGAGGTACCTCACAGGTGCAGGCACACAGTAGGCGCTTAGTAAATGCACTTTTCCCCACCTCACAAAGTGAAAATTCCAAAAGGATGATGTTTGAAGCTTCCCAGAGGCATCACACACTTCAGCAGATTCCAGGCTGGCCGGATTCCGGCTGGATTTAATTTATGGGGTATTTAAAACAATAAGGATACAATTATCCTTATTGTTTTAATTTATTTCAGTAAACCAAGTTAATACAGCATGAGGGGCAGCATAAAGTTGTGGCTCATCAAATACTTAGATTAATGTTAAGCATAAATTGATGCCCAATTAACACTTTTTCATTAGTTTTCATAGAATTAGGGAGACAATGGACTAAACTCAACACCAAAACTGTACCAAGTCCACTGTGGGAATTGGAGACATGGAACATTTGGAAAAATCTCAACCCCAGCCAAAGTCTAGGGTGACCAGACTTTCAATCTGTCTGTTCCCCTAACCTGGGATAATACCATTCTCACAGGATTTGATGGGACTGGGGTGGAGCATTTGCAGTGAATGAATGTAAAGTCCCTTTTTCATTACAACCTTACAATAGGTCATGTTTATTATGGATTGTTATTGAATATGATTTTCAGAAGGCACTTTACAAGGTTTTTAATCACAAACCAGAGCAATTCCCACCACTCTAACCAAGCTGTTTCTTAAGTCATCTGGGGTCCCATGTGTTGATAATTAGTTATTATGACTATTCTCAGTAACAAAATACAGAAAACACAGCTAATTGGGATTTCTACAACAGAACCACAGACCATGAAACCTAGCCCCTCCCTTATTCAGCCCCTTCCTTTCTTGTATGTAAGAGCCCCAAAGGTGCCAAGCTGGCAAGGCCACATACCACCTCCACCAGTCAATCCCTAAGAAGGGCTCTGGCCATGGTCCAGTACCCTTTGGCTTTGCTACCTGCACGTTCATGCTCTCCTTCACTAGGCAGGAGTGTGTGGCCTTCTTCCTGGTGTAGACTTGCACAAACTGTTATTTGGTGAGCTGAGTAAAAACCTGAGGAGGAAGCCTGGCATAGTTGCACAGGACTTTAATCCCAGCATTTGGGAGGCAGAGCCAAGTGGAGCTCTGTGAATTCGAGGCCAGCCTGGTCTACATAGTGACTTCCAGGCCAGCTGGGGCTACATGGAGACCGTGTCTCAAAAAAGAAAAAGGAAAAAGAAAACCTGAGGGAGGGAGACACTAACACTGCAGAAGCCTCCATCACTACAGTGTTTTTACTCAGTTACTGTGGGAGACAAGGTTTTGTTATGGTGCAGACTGGCCTTGACCTCAAGTGATCCTCCTATCTCTGACCCCCTACCACAAGTACAGGTTTTGTTTCGCTTGGTTTGGTTTGGTTTGGTTTTAAGATATGTGTCTCATATGGTCCAGGCTGACCTCAAACTCTATAGGGGAGGATGACCTTGAACTTCTGGTCTTCTTGCCTCTGACTCCCAAATGCTGGGATTACAGGTGTGTGCCACCATGCTTGGTTTATGACAGTGCTGGTGATTGAACCTAGGGCTTTATGCATGTTATGCAAGCACTCTACCAACTGAGCCACATCCCCAGCCCTCAGCAAGGTTTTTTGTTTTGTTTTTTTTAATTTTATTTCCCGGTAGTGACATTTTGATTACGGCCTTCTTATTCTGTGATTCTGAGTATTGACAAATACACAAATTGTATGATTACCCCCAGAATTAAGATGCAGAACGGGGGGCGGGGCTCAGCAGTTAAGAGCACTGACTGCTCCTGCTGAGGACCCAGGTTTGGTTCCCAGCACCTAAACTGCGGCTAACAACCATCCTTAACTCCAGTTCCAGGGCATCTGATGCCCTTTTCTGACATCTGTGGGAGTTGCAGACATATGGCATACCTACATACCTGCACGCAAAAACACTCACACAGATGGACAGTTTTATTGTCCCCCAGACTCCCTCCTGCTGCCCTTTGCATGACACTGTAAGAGATAATTATTCTCTTTCTTTCCCAGTTCACTCACTCGCTTGGCTGCCCAGCAATAGTGTCATAACTTACCATCTTGGTTTTGAGATCTCAACACTACTAGACAGGCCCTTCATGAGACTCCCTGTTCCCCAGCTCTGCCTGTGCCCACACTGCTGGGCTCCCTGGTTCCTCACCACCCTTAACTGTAGTTGTGATACAGCCTGATCCTCCCCCAGATACGCCTGCCCTGAATGAGCTAGGCAGGATGGGTTTAAAGACGATCTGCATGCTAATACCACTCAAAATCTCCAGCCCTGTCCTCCCAGAGTTCCAGGCTGTGCTCAGTGTCCTCTTCTGTGATACATATCCATTTATCCTTCCTAAAGGTACCCCAGACCTAACATGGCCAAAACCACATACATATTCTTCACCCCTAAATCTGGCTCTTGGATTCCCTGTCAGTGAACAGACTCAACTAGCCTGGAGACAACATGAACAATCCACCAGGACGACTATAGGATGCCCCTCCTAAATATCTTCAAATCCATCTTTTTCCTTTTTTATTATTTTATTATTTTTATTTTATATGTGTGTATTGCCTGCCTGTAGGTAAGTGCACCTGTGTCATGCAATGCTCGAGGAGGACCGAAGAGGCTGTCGGATCCCCTGGAACTGGAGTTACAGACAGTTGTTAGCTGCCATGTGGGTGCTGGGATTCAAACCCAGGTCTTCTGCAAGAACAACCAGTGTTCTTAACCGCTGAGCAATCTCTGTAGCCCCCATCTTTTTCTAATTGAAAGTTTTTAAATTTTATTTCCATTGTCTGTGTATGTGCTTGCACATTCATGAATGTATGTATGTGTGTGTGTGTGTGTGTGCGTGCATGCGTGTGCAGGCACCTGTGTGCCACAGCCTTTATGTGGTCAGAGGAGTAGTAGGAGTCTGTTCTCTGATTCCACCATGGATTCAGGAGTGGAACTCAGGTTGTCAGGCTTACACGGCAAGAACTTTTCACTCACACTCATCAAAACTATCTTTTTTGCATCTAGGATCTCCCACCTAAAACCCTGCAATAGCCTCCCAAACAGCTGCCCACGTGGACTCTCCATCCATTTATATGCCTGGGAAGTTTTCCCATACTTCTCTAAGTCAAATGTCTCTTGATAGACACTTAACCTGCCAGAAGGTCCTCTGTGCTCCTTACCATGTGTGATCATTTACTTTACTGTCCATCTCTGCCAGGCCACAAGCTCCCATCCTTTTTTTGTTCTCATTGTACCAGTTTGTGGTTGACAAGAAATAATGTTGGGTGGGTGGAAGGACTGATGAATGAGTGCATGTCATCACTCATTGATGAAATTGGACAATTTCATCCTAGGGTTTGTGTGTGTGTCCATGTCCAGAAGGCTAACTGGCCAGAACTCCCTTTTTTCACTGTCCCCTAAGGTAAGCTGGTAAATGTTGCTGCTTTTTCTGCTTTGGGGAACAGTGTGACAGTGATTGGACTTGGGCTGGACATGATGACTCACACCTGTAATCCCAGTACTTGGGAGGCAGATGCAGGAGGATTGATGAAAGTTCAAGGCCAGCCCGGTCTACATGGTGAGTCCAGGCCAGCCAAGGCTACATAATGAAACCCTGTCTGAAACAATGCAATAAGTTCTTAAATGTTTACTAGAA